TTTTTTTATGTTCGCTGTATTAGTTGTGTCTCAGTGACCTGTTATACTATTGCAGGGTGTTCGCACATCATATCCATATCATATCGTGAAGTTTTGATAGCTATCGCATAAAAATTTCACGAGCGACTTCTACAGTTATTACATGTGATCTTGAGCCAAATTTGAACGATGTTAGAACGTTCTCATAAGTGCATCCCATGATTTTCATGTTAAAGAACAGGACAAGTTCGATAACAATTAGGCACCTTGTGTGAATTGCACGACTAAAACATGATTTATTGTGATCGAAGTAATATCGCGACCGAAGTAAAAAAATTGGTACTCAATAGGGTATTCACATAGAAAAGCAAGAAGGCCAATGGGGTTTAGCACTGTAGCTCTTGTAGAAAAATCAGGGAATCGTTCAAGTGAACGATATAATTATCGTAGGGGACAGGATCGCAAGTCAGAACCGTGTATTGCACCCGATTTTCCTCCTGCAAATGATAAAAATCGGCGATTTTTGACGAATACACCAAAGTGGAAAGCTTCACTCACATTATATGTGGTAGAACGCGCGCTGACCCGCCAGTTGAAGTATTTGAAGGACATGCTGTTTAATATGTCGACGTATCCATCCTGCTACAAATTCGAAACGTAATATTTGCACAGCTATGTACAGCACAGTGTTCAACCTACGTTATCACGTTTCATTTCACCTAAATGCTGCGCTTCTAAACCGAACAGTTTCGTTGCAGCATTAGAAAACAATGTTGCCCAAATGGAACCAGTAAGATCAGTCAATTCGACCTAAATACGTGAATCATTTTGCGCGAAGAAGAACGAAAAGCGTCATACCTGAGCCATGTAAGCCCATTTGAATGTCGGCATGGACGTATCGCATTTCGCACAGCGATACTGACCACTACCGACTTGTACGACCTTCTTTGAGCATCCTTCATTTGAGCAACCCTTTGGGGTAATGTGATGAGTGGAATCGAAAAGAAGATAGTAATACAGCATACCTTGTACAATGCTGTGTCCGTCTTAACTGAAGTGATCATCGCTTTGAAATTCAAATATCGACCCTTTGACGACACGTTTCCGTTTTTGAGCGCAAACGCCTTCGCAGAAGCGATAAAGCAGAGATCACGCTCTAAATCACAAACGTATATAGTCGGTACCACAGAATCAAAAAGACTATCATCATAATGCCACGACAAACACAACATAATGCAAAATAAAAATAAATGAGAGATTGGCAGAAAATCTTGAAAGAGTAACAGCAGGACCACATACGAACTCACCGAAGGTATTGCTCCCATCGATTGCAGCCAAACCATTATTTTTGACATCTGCTGTAGCCCGTTCGGTAGAATACCAGTCAAGTAAAGCAGAAACTCCGTCGATTTGCGGGCCTAGCAAAATTCTCGATGCTGAAGCTAGCGACAAACTGAAAGAACCTGAAAAGTTCACTTGGCTGCACATTCCAAGAAGAGAAAAAAGAAGGATACTAACCATTCCATTCCTTCACTAATGCTCCTTTGATAGAGATGGCTTGACCGAGAGCAGTATCTTGAAACTGTTTGGCTTGATCAGCCCATAATGTCAAGCGGACTATCGTGCCCGACTGATCTATCAAGTCTACGTCACGTTTGACGCAAGGGCGACCTTGCCTCGAAACGAACTGAAAACTGAAAGGTGAACCAGCAACTAAACTGGGAGAAAACCACAGGAACCTCAAGCACCGGATTGATTTGATCAACAATAGCAAGCACATTGACATTCTCATCTTTATGGCTTTGCACATTTGAAAGTGGACAAATTTTCAGTGCAGGCTGTGGTTTTCCTATATCGACATGACAAGGGACGATCTGAAACAGCATGCATCAAAGACATATAAATCGTGTATAGCAGAACCGACCTTCGTGTTTGCGGTGACGGATAATTCGTAGTTATGGCCAGTAATATCGAAGCGTTTATTGGACTGTTTGACAGTGCAACCAGATACGTAGTAAGACTATAAAATCGGTACTTTAATTAAGAAACGGACAGTCTTCTTGAGCCATCCATACGCGGTCAAGTTGAACTATATCAAACGTTGTCGGAGCAGCTTCGTCGAAAGCAGTGATGCGTATGGCCACTCCGTCTTTGTCAGTCAACTCGAAACTGAACACCTGCAAAGAGCTGAATGATGACGCTGTATTGGAAATATTGAGGAAAGAACACACATGATGGTAATTACTTGAAAGCAGGTATTGTAAGGATTGTCTTACCTTCATGAGACCCTGTCCACCACGTGATCTAACTGATTTCATTTCATCCTTTGAAGTACAAAGACCGCATATGACCCATTTGCTAACGTGTGGGGTTAGCATGCTAATTGGCGTAACTTCGTCCAACGGTTTTGGTTGACGAGTAACCGGTGCAGAAGCTAGAATGAGAAATACAACTACGACGCGAAGACGATACATCAATAGAATACAATGAAACGTGATAAAAGCGAATATACAACTCACGAGCAGTCCCCTTGTCCGTCAAGCTGAGATCACTCCAAGGTACGGAATATATAGAAGTAGATGAAAAACGAGTAAATCTATTCTACAAAGAGTATACATATTGTTATATGTTTGAAGAGCCAATGGTGGAAGTCTCTTTGTTCACCTTATCACCGTCATGGCTTGCTCCAGGCGAAAGTATAGGGTGACCTCTTGAGAGCAGCTCGTAAGCTCTTATCACAAGCATTGGTTTGCTAGATGAATATCAAAGTGACCATGAAAGCAATCAGAGAAATTGTACGAACCCGAAAGTACCATCTGCTTTCTTGCCAACCCAGCGTTTAGAATCCATGTGCATTTTTGTTATCGCAAGTATTTCACCACCGTTTTCAGCGTTTCCAACCAACATATCGCGAGCGCACTGCTTTTGCAAGCTCGCCGAAACAAAAACGCCTAAAATGGCGAAAAGTATGAGGAACTAAAATGTTCCTGGAGGCGTACAAAACGAGCGCAACTAATACAAAAAAGCTGTCAATTATGTTCAGTCACTCTAAAATATGAACCTTACCAGAGTAATGGAAAGCGCCGTCGGACAATCGCAGTCGATAGCAAGCTGGATATCCTGTGGAACTGGCTACCAATTGCTTGACAAGCTTAACAATCATTCGTACATCAAGCTGAATAAGTGACATTGACGTACCGTTACTTGCAATATCGGAGTTTCTTCGGAGACACCGTCATTTGCGAAAAAACGCTAAACAATGATTGAGTAATGCTGTTTGTTCGACAAGTGATTCAACAGACAGTTATATCACAACCAACATATCACAGATAAAAGAAGAGTTTTGCGGGGGAATTAGGAGAAATTACCTGGAAGAACCCAGTGGACAGACGCAACTCGCCACCTGTACCGTACTTCCGGTAACGTTCTGGAGTGACATGATTTGCTTTCATTTCGTCCATACTAAAGGAAGAAGGATAACTTGCACAAAAGAAGTAGAACAGTACTTGGTAATAGCGCTTGAGCTGGACGAGCCCAATGAATGCGAGCCAACCACAATAACATCAGGTGACGCAAAGAACGAATGTCGCGACTCTGCCAAAACTTCGTCTAAGAGTTACTTCGCAGCTGATTACGAATAGCACATTTGTTTCGGCGTAATGTCATTCGGTGGAGTTAAGGTAGAACACGGTAGCAATGAAATCCATGGATTTGGCCCAAACTTCGTCTAAGGAGGTTTTTTTGCACGCTAATTACGAGTATCGCAGATATTTCGCACCGTAGTACCATCAGGTGGAGTTACGATAGGATTGTGATAAGGGTCAAAATCACATTAGCCGCAAAATTTGTGGAGGTTGTTAGGCATGCTGAACATGAAGAGCACATTCATTTCATAATATAGCGCAATGTGCTCGGATTACGGTGGGTATAACGAATTCGATGGCAAATCCAAATTCGTGCAAAACGTTGAGAGAGGTTCCTAAGCACGACAATTTCGAATATAATGCTCTTTTCGCGTTTCAAAACGTTTTTGCGAAATTGCGGTAGAGTAG